ACCTGGGACCCTAAGTTCCTGGGCGGTGAGGATGCGAGGACCCCCCACTTTTGTTCCGGTTAAGGCCAGGGCGGGGCGGCATGGGGCCGGGACACAGACAGTGGGGCGGGCGGCCGGAAGGAGGACGCCCCAGGCCTGGGTCGAACGGGACACGCTCTACTCGCCTTCAGCCCCCCCTCCCCGAGCCTCGGGGTTGGGTCTGAAGAGTCTTGGGGCCCACGGGCGGAGTCGCCCCGCGTGTGTGAGTCTGCGTGCCTGTTGGGCAGCCCAGAGGCGCGTGTGCCAACGTCCATGTGCATTTGTATTTACGCACGCGCCACGCTGCGTGTGGGCATGTTGGCGAGTGTAAACACGCAGTTCACCTGGGGCGCGGGTTGGGGCGCGGGTGCGGGGTGTGTGCTCCGTGCGCATACACGTCGCCGTGTTACAGCTAGTGGCCATGCGTGTACACCCAAGTGTACGGTGCTGTGTTGGGGCCCTCCTGTGTTGGCAGGGGACTCCACCTGCAGAGTGCAGGCGAGGTGTGCGGTTCAGTAGCTTCAGCCCTCACCGGCCCCCCACCCCAGGCCTCCCTGACCCATAGAGCGCTAGTGCCCAGGCTTGTGCTCCAAGAAGCTACTTTCCTAACTCACCTGCCCCAGAAATAATTCGAGGTAGTATCTAGGGATGAGGCCAGAGCCACTTGTGCCCCATTCCTCATGGGTGTAAGGGCCCCAGCCTCAGGCACTTGTACTCTGTGCCCAGCAGGGACCCAAGAGCCTAGTTCCCCATGGGGAGCCAGCCCGGAAAGGCGTTTGGGCTTGCAGGAAGGACCAGGAGCCAAGGGAGCTTCCTGGGGGTTGGGAGGGATTGGTCTGGAGGGGCAGTGGTCTATCCACCCAAAGGACCCTTGCCTCCTGCCAGAGATCTGATGACTGTGCGGCCCTCACTCCAGAAGATGCTCTCTCTCTGGGAAGGTCATTTCCCCTCTCTGGCCTCAGTTTTTTCCTTTGTAACTTGGTGGTGCAAGTTGACCTCTAAGGGGTGAATAGCCCCCCACCCTCAGGGCTGGCAGCCGCACCCTGCAAGAAGCTCCCTAATCAGCGGGCTTGTCTCTGGGGCTGGATGTAGCAAAACTTGCAAAACCACATTCATGGCAGTTTGCTTGAGTCCCACATCTGCATACATGGCTCCCTTCCTGCCTGGGGCTGGGCAGGAGGTGTCCAGTGGGCAGGCACTCTCAGTCCAGCCCACAGAGTCTGGCAATAGCGTAGTGGTCACTCAGGCAGTGTAGGTTGTTGTTGATAGATCACAGGAATTGAAAATGTGGTTTTGAGGATTGAAATGTGTGTGTGTGGGGGGGGGGAGGACTCTGATCCCAAGCAGAGGCAAGAGCAGCTTGCATACTGGGGCTCTGATGGCCCCCCAGGGGTAGGACCCCAGTGCCTGGGGTTCCCTGAGCTTCAGTTTCACCATCTGTAAAACAGCGATATGAATACAGGAAGGTTCACTTAAGGTGAAAATGGGTTGGGGGTCATGAGCCCCCAACCAAACCTTAGGTCTCAGGGTGGGAGTGAATGAGAGGTTCTTTATGGCTAACCCCTTCTGCCTTCTATGGAAGCTGTCTTTTTGGGTCATATTCTCTGTGACTCAGGTGTTAATGGGGACAGAGGCTGCAGGGGGAGGAGGAACTTCTGTTTCCTTAAAGGGTGGGGCAGATGTTTCTCCTTGAAATTCTCACACTCAGTGGCCTTTGGAGCTACTGTTAGGAGAAGAATGGTTTGGGTGTGTCCCTGGGGCTCCATGGGTGGGGCTGGGGGTCATGAGGAGGTGCTTAGAGACTAGTACTTGCCTTCCCCCAGCTCCCACACCCTATTGTGACACAGG